CTAGGCCGGGCCGGCCTGGGCCGTGGCTCAGCCCGCCGAGAGCTGGGCTACTGCAGCGCCGCAGACCACCGTGCAGCTGGGCCGCGGCTTCCGCTTTCCGGGTTTTACCGCGGAGGAGGCTCCGCCCCCGCCCGGGGCCTTCCCTCCGCGTCTCTGCCAGGTTCCCAGACCAAGAGGCTGGGGAGCCACACGGAGATCAAGGCCAAGAGCAGCTCCCCAGATCACCCTTCAGGTCACTTCCTCAGAAATGACTTTCCCAGCCATCGGTCTAAAGGAGGTCGGTCCTGATATTCCAGTAGTTCCCCATTTATTTCTTTGCAACACTTATCTTTTCTTGTGTTTTTGTAGGTTTCTTTGTGCTTAATGATTTACTGTCGGTCTTCCTCCTTGGGCTGTGGGTGCCATGAGGTCAGAGATTGAGGGCTGGCGCGAGCCTGGCACGTAGATTCGCAACCCTTGCTGAATGAACAAATGTTTTCCTGAATTTACGCTGTCCTGGGACGAAAAGGCCTGGCAGGCTGCAGCTTGCTGTTTGCCTTCCTCTCCAGCCCCTCAGCAGCTGTGGGACTTCAGCGTTCTGAGTGCTCAAGGGTAAAAAGGGACAAGGCTTGGGGCAGTTCCAGGGCGCTTTTCCCAAATCAGGGTAGGGGAAGGTTAGCGGCGGGAAGAACCGTTTCTAGGTTAAGAGTCAAGCAGCTGATAGAGGTCAGGGGAAAGGAACGGTTGCGATCTCAAATGAATATTTAAAGATACGTTAAGAAGGTTTTAATCAGCTTTCCCCTCTCCCTCCCCCCTCCCCCCGCCTCTCTCTCTCTCTATATATAATTGGGGGGTGGGGGGCATTAATGGAACGCTGACCTCTAACGGCCATTCTCATCCCACTTGAAGTACACCTCACGTGTTCTTGCTTGCCTGACATGTAGCATTTGGGTCAGATAAAGCTAATGAGATAATGACTAGACCACTTCAGAAAGCCTAGTAAGTGCAGTTCTAAATGTTTTACATCTTTATTTTTGATTATCAAATCGACATAAGGTGTAAGTTATCCCCGTTTTACCGGTGAAGAAAATCAACTAGGATAAAAGTAACTCCCACGAAACTAATTTAAAATTATTTTACCCAGGCTTTATTTTTATATTGCACACATGGGCAGTGGTTTCCTTTCCGCTTTTGCTTGACAGCTTTTCCCTTCCTCAGAGCGAAACATGACGAATCCGTTGGGTTTCAAGACAAATGGCTGACAACAACAACAAAAAAACCTGGAAAAATGACATGAGAAGGTCATTTTTTGTGTATCTTAATGTTTACTTTAAGACGTAAATTTACACTAGTAGCAAAAACATTTTACTTCATTGCTTGGCACACTAAGAAGCTTGGGGGAGGTTCCTGAAAGAACAGAATCAGGTAAGATGCGCCAGGCAGGAGTAAACAGCAGCATATCATCTTTTAGGAGCCTCTTGACCAATTTTCAGTGCTTAAGTCTCTCACCTAACAAAGGACTCTGAACCCAGAATTGCATTCTAATTCCTACTCCCACTAACTGATTTTTAGGCAATGTATTCAACCTAACAAGCCCGTTGGCTCACCTGTATTATGGCGATTGTATTGTTATCTTCCTACTGAAGGCTGTGAGGATTCAATGAGATACCCTCATATAAACTGCCTAGCCCACAGCAGTTACTCAAAAAAACATTCAGTCCTTTCCTTTTCCTTTCCTAATCATAAGCAAGGGCTATCAGTGCTGAGGGCAGTAAAATGAGAAGTCCACACAAATAAAAACTGATGAGGAAAAAAATCCATTTGGATTATGTCACTTAATACATCAATGACACCTGAAACACCTGTAAATTACCTTCATTAACTGACACTACATGCATGTACTTTCAAAAATAACATCCCCAGAATAAAACTTTGATTGCTCTCTCATAGGTATAAATCAATTAATGCAGCAAGAGGCACAACTGCCACAAATGCCTCCACTAATTGCCTCTCAATATGGATGAAATTTTCCCTGGGTATCTATGACCTTTTCTTTAGGAAACAAAGTTCACAAGATTTTCTAAAATATCAGAAAATAATAGGAGACACAGAAGGGAGAGATTAATACTTTAAAAACAGGTTCCAGGTGGCTACAATTCACACATGCTATTCATTTTGTCACGAAACATCAATAAAGGACAAATCAGACTTTGTTTATTAAAAAAATACTTTACAGGAAAAAAAAAACCTCTATGCATTCCATTGTCCTATTTTACAAAGAAATAGCTTAACAATTTAACACACTTAGACAGCTACAAAAAAGCACTGTGTTAAAAGGATTATTATTCACACAAATTTAGATTTAAGACTATTCATTAAAAACCTTTTTAAAACACTCATTAATGTCAATAAACAAACTAAGGCCACAAAACGCAAATAGTCCGCCAAGCAAATTATACATTTCATCTATATGCAAAGACCTCTTAAGATAAATTAAAGCCACAGGAAAAAAAGTCTTAGCTGCCAATCATAATGGAGTTTAGTCACAGAAAACACTATTACATGAAAATTTACAACATGTGATAGAAGTAGTACATAAGTATTTCTTTAGAGAGAATTGAAAAGTGCTATATTAAGAGACAGTGGTCTCAACTACATGCACAAGTGGATCCTAAAAGATGTATGAAGAAAATGGAAGGCCATAATATTTATGGAGAGATACTTGCTTTTAAAGCAACAAACTTTCATAATGAGGATAGGTCCCTTATGTGCTAAAGAAAAACATCTGTCTTGTACATTTCCTCTACTGACTGCATGACCAATAAATACAACTAAAACCTGTTTAAAAAAAATTAAACTTAGCAGAAATACAAACCTCTGGCATGTACTAGTGAAAGGTTCTTTTTCTAAAACTTGTAGCAATGATAAAACAGATTCATTAGAAAGACACAAACTCAATTACTCTAAAGGTATAAATGCAAAGAAAAATTTAATGGCAAATATAGATTAAAATAAATGATCTAATAATGAGCTAATAATAATAATCAAGAATATATGCACTAATTGAATTTTGGAGTCATGTTCCTAAATTAGCTTTCACTCTAGACAATATTTATAGAAGGAAAGGCAATAAGCAAAAGTTTCTCCAGTCATTAAGGATGAACTTTATGCCTATTAAGACCGATGCAAGATGATGCAAGACATCTTTTCCTCAGGTTTATATTTTGTAAATAATTTTATTTAGTAAGCTCCTTTTTCCCCCTACAAGAGCTTGTGATATTAGTCGACTGATATTCCAACTGTCTCTAAGGGGAAAGGGCACCTTTCAAAAGTCTTTAATTCAAACTGATAAAGTACCAGTGAAACAAATTCTAAGTAAGCAAATTAAAAGTAAAATTAAGCCTAGGAATTCATTTTTAAAGTTAAAACTTTGGAGGGGGAATAAATATGTAGTTATTTTTTAAATTATTGCTTTATGAATTTGGAATACCTCTTTGAATCATAATCCTACTCCTAGCGTATCTTGGTAATTACAGAATGAGTTCTGGGGCAAGGGGAAGACTTTTCTCCTGATTAATGAAGACCATAAAATCATTCTAGTTACTAAGTTAGGAATACTCATTTACTGGGTCCTTTCCATAAGCACATTTTGAAAAATATCCCTCTGCTCCACAAAATACTAAAACTTATAGCCACATTCTGCAAGTAATCTCAAAAAGTTGGCACAACGGATAATAACCAAAAAGGAAGATCAGCTTAAATTTCAGTTACAACTTCACTGCCATCACTACTTTAACAAATCAGAAAACGCCAGATTGCTCCATGCCTCACTCCACCAAACCAAATAATTTAATGATTTTAGAAAAGTTGCAATCATTTGTATCACTAAACTAGGATACAGCTTTAAAGCAGTAAGAAACTCAAAACTTGCGCTTTTATATTCATCAGTCTTTAAAGCATGCTATTAAAATCTAATACTCACATAGGACATTCAGTTTCCAGATACATTACTAGCTAAATGTTTCTCTCTCGGTTCTATTGCAATTCTAACATACAATGAATTTATTAGTACATGATTTTAAACATTTTTTATTCTTTTAATATGCTTATAATTGGAGTTGAGGGTAGAATGTTTTATAAAAAGAAAATGGGGATTTGCTTTTGATTGTAGGTCTTTGCAGATCCGCTGGTTCCTGAGTGATTATACACAGTGCTGGCTGTCAGGAGACAGTCTCCTTGTTTATTAGCAATGACCAGCTTAGATGACAGATGGCATCTGCTGGATGGCAAGTGGGAGATGGGGAAATCGGATCTTGGAAGACAAGAAAAAAATAAAAAGTTTTTGCTTTAACAACCTTGTTCTTCATGATTATTTTAAAAAGCAAATGTTGCCTGAGAAGAATTTTACTTTGCACAGCCTAGTAAAGCTCTATGAAATTCTTCTGGACAGAAAAACAAAACACAAGAAATAACCCAAACCCACATACTTTGTGATTAAGCCCCTCCCCGCAAAATAACAAAAAACACC